GTATAAGTAAAATTTAAGCAGAGACGTTGAGTATTTCTCGGTAAGGTCTCTGTTGGCACTCAAGCAGAACAGATCCTCCTGATGAAGGAATAGCCTGAGTTCTGCAGAACAGTCTTGTCTTCCTGGTCTCTGCCACCTACCAAATGCAGAAACACTGTGAGGTCACTACATGGAAACTACCCCATACAATCAGGGGAGCAAGAGCCCTGGGCCGACTGAGGAAAGATGCTTATTAAAATTAGCAAAGGCACTATGTAGCCTTTCATAGAGTCAACCTCAGATCTGTTTAGGAGGGAGTCAGAAACGGGAGGCATGAAAGGGAACTCCTAACACCAAACAGGTACCCAGAGACCCTATGGGTGACACCAAACCTTGAAGTGTGAATCAGAGGAGCTGTAACTGGTTTAAGCAGGGGAGTGAAGGATCTCTTTTCTTCTTGTCTATGAAGCTGCTTTATCTTAAAGTAAAATTCCAGTTCAGGAATATGGTGCTGATACCTCTTGCCAGTTTCAGTCTTTGCCTGGTTTAAATATGCACTGTTGTTATATCTAAGAAATGAAACCTGGGCAACTTCCTGAGAGAACTGGACATCACATAGCCTTCTTCAGCAAGTGAGTCAATTAGAAGTAAAAGTAGGAGTTCTTCCACTCTCACTCATTTCCTACCTCCCTATAAGTCATCCTTCCCTTCGAAGCTGATAATTGTTTACCGTGAAGCCAGTGGTAGAAGAGGCTTAGGTTGATGTTCTTCAAATCTATTATGTTCACAATCCTACATCTGAATCGCTAGACATTTGCAAAGATGGGAGAGATGTGTGGCAATACAGGTAGCATCAGTAATCTGACATGAAATGATTATTGAAAGCCTGACTGGTTCTAATCCTACAGTCATACAACCTGAAGGAGCTAGCAATAATATCCTATGGAAGTGGTGAGTGTTTAATTTTTGTAAAGTTTATGGTCTTGAGGAGTTCAGATTGTTGTCACTTCTGTTGAACAACTGAGTGAAATAATGCATTGGGTTAGTTTCTCTGACAACCTCAGGTGATTTTCACTGCAAACTTTACATGATCAAGTTTCTGGAAATGCTTTTACCTCTTGGATTGAATTCTTGGAACAGTGGCACTGACTAAGGAAAGCAGCATTAATAATGCTACCTATGTACAGCACGATTGTGGGTACCAGTGGACGAGGAAGATGCGTTAGTATCAAGACAAAAAAAAAAGCATTATTTCTAAAACTAAAAAAAAATGCCACTAATTGAAAGGATATAAAACTTTCAAATCAACTTTTCAGACAGAATCCCATAAATTATCTGTCTCTGCAAAGCCTGTGGGTAGATAACTGCCCTTAATGTGTAAGACTCAGCTGAAGTTCCAGAATCATATGGAACTTCCTGACAAGGAACTGAATCTGTTCATGAAAAGGTATAAGAAGTAGAAAGATGTTCCTAAGTCTTAAGCTATTGATAACTGAAGGATAAGTATATGATGATTTCAAAATACAGTTTATGAAGGACCTGATGTCACAGTTGTTGCGAATATCTCCACAAAGATGATGAGTCATATGAGGATTCCAAATTGTCTTGCTGAATGGTAACAAATGAATTAAAAATGCTAAAAAAAAAAGGAAGAAAGAAATGCTGACCAAAAAATTAGAGAAGTGAGGCGTAGAGATCTTTATGAGAATGGGGATAGGAAACTATTTCATCATTGCTTCCAAAAGGAATAAGAGATTGAGAGTCACAGAAGCTCATATGCTTTTTTTTTCAAATATCGAGTGAAAAAGACTTAGAAAGATTAATGGATGAGGACTGGAAGGCAGTTTTATTAGAAAGATTAAGGTATGAGTGTTGGGAGACACTTCTATTTGTAATGTGCTTGCCATGTAAACACAAGGACCTAAGTTTGGCCATTTTCAAAACCAGTGGGAAAACCCAGGTGCATGGCCACCTGCCTATTATCCCAGTACTGGTGAGGCAGAGAAGTGGACAAGTGTCTTGCTCATCAGCTAGTCTAGCTCAATTGGTAAGCTTCAAATTCAGTAAGAGACCCTATCTCAAAATTTAGCTGAAAAGTGAATGAGGAAGACCAGAACATTGACTTCTGGGATCCACTTGCATGCAGACATATATGCATTCACAAACTTGCACACAGCTGCATCAACACCACATACTAAAAAAGTAATGAAAGAAATGAGCCAAGTAGTCTAGAGAGATTAACACTTAATTTAGATTAGCAATGTTTTCCACATGTGCTATAAAATTTTAAAATTATTTCTATGTACTCAAAGGAGTGTACAAACCAGGTGTGGGGTATTATATGCCTACAGTCCAAACAATAGAGAGAATGAGACAGGAGAATTGAAAGTTTGAGGGCATGCTGGACTACATAGGTGTGTGTGTGTGTGTGTGTGTGTGTGTGTGTGTGTGTGTTTAAAATATACTATATAAAAATCTCTATGAGAGACTTTCCAAGTATCTGTCTGTAGTGGCTTGTGTTTTTCATGTTGCATGGATAAACATTTCACGTATTTTCATCTCCACTTAAATTTAACCTTAAAATGAACATATTGCAAGTTAAACTAAATATAGATAGCCTGCAGAAAAATATCAATGAGTTTATAAAGTTGGGAGTAATAAAATAAAATCATTTCCAAATAACTATCTCATAGCCATTGTTCAGTCTACTTAATCAATAAGAAAATCATTTTAAATTGTTTAATAGCATTATGAGTACCAAGATTTTCATTGAAAACACTTAAAAGTGGAATTCTAGAAGCAGTCCTAATGAGGTGAAATTCTGCTTGAATCAGGATTGCGTTTCAAAGAGGTAAGGCATTTAATCAAGGGAATGAGGAGTCCCGCATATCACTGCCTTGAATGCAGACTACACAAAAGACCATAATTAAACAATTTGCTTGTCATTAGTCATGCAGATTTTAAACTTAGAGCTTCTTGCTTTGACAAGCCTAAGTCCAGAATACTAAAAATGTCTTAAGTCAAAGTACAAGGTAAAGTGATAAAACCAAAATGCAAATTTCTTCCTGATTGAATAGAAAAACACTGAGTCACTTCAGTCAGTGGGTAAGAATGATTTTTAAAAAACAAACTGGATAGAGATCATTAAGTGATTCTGTGTGGCTATAGTTCCAAAGTAATGACAGTGCAGGCATGCATGTGTGTGTGCATGGCTGTGTGTGTGTGTGTGTGTGTGTGTGTGTGTGTGTGTGTGTGTGTGTGTACGCGCGCGCTACCATCAACTCATGAAGCTCTGCTATTGAGGGACCACATCAACCCCTCCTCTGAAACTGATATCAAATGATAAAGTGAAAAGTCAGATAACTTTCCTCTGAAATGTTGGGTAAACACAGACGTATGCATAAAGTCACCACTATGCATCTTTATGTTTTAGAGTAACTATGGAAATACAACATATCCAGAGCAAACAAAACATCCTATCCTGCAAAGGAAGAATCTAAAATAGGTTGTGATCTCAGTTATAGCTTCCCAGTGCAGCTGTTCATCCACTCATTAGGTTAGAGCACAAATCATCTGATGACTGCTAATGCTTAATTTGCATCTATGCTAATTAATTTTGTGAACTGCTACTGTTTTGACAGGATTATTTGTTTCTCTAGAGAATCTGTCTTCGAAATCTCCAGTGGATCTTTGGAACAGATTTTATTTCATTCAAATGCTGTAAATATGGCTTCCTTTTTAGAAGTTTTTCTCTGCTAACTGTTGTTTGTATTATTGGTATGCTTTTATACTAGGCATTGCAGTAGCATGGATTTCTTCAAGTAATGATAGATAGATAGATAGATAGATAGATAGATAGATAGATAGATAGATAGGATACATAACATATATATATATTCAGAGCACAGAGCACAGTTTAAATATACAGGCAAAATTCACTTATGTCCAAATGGAGAAAAGTAGAGAGAATTTGGACTTCTAAACAAAGTTTGATATAGTTGTTCTTTATAATAAGCAGTGACATCAGTCTTACTCATATATTGCCTTTCATGAGACTGTGTGAACCTGCAACAGCATTAAAAACAAGAATCCTGCACAGCCTCTTGTCCGTGAAGCCCTGTAGTCCTTCAGCTGTCTTTATAAAGCTAATGCTGCATGTAATTTTGAGATATGCAAAGACACTAAGAAATTCCAATGGCATATAAATATTAATATTATTATCCGAATGCCGGATCAGATTTTACAACTGTGATGTGATTAAAACAAAGCATATAAACAGCGCTGTGCTGAAACACTGGCCAGAACTCACTCACACTGGTGGGGGAGGAGGGAATGAAGAGCAAGGTGATAACACCGGAATCAAAGTTGATTTAGGTAATGACAAGCCATCCTTGGCATAATTGCACACCCAATTCTGTATAGTTAAGAGTCCCGGTCAGTAGTACACTGGGAGCAATACGGCACTTAGAAGAACTGAACTGGTTAACATAAACCAAAGCTTCAATATGTTTGATATGCTTTTCATACTGTTTTAACACATAGATAATTTTCTCATTAAAATATTCGTTTAACCATCGAAGGATAAGCACTGTGAGGTGCAGTTATTTATTGCTATATTAATCCTGTCTTTGCTTTCCAAAGAAAGACATCTCCATCTTATTTATTACTCTCCTTACCTGGGAGAGATCATTTTAGTGAGGAAGGACCTAAGAATCAGCTTTCTCCTCCCTTCCCTGCATATCTAAGGCACACATCTAAAGGGCACACACGATGGGGACCAGAAGTGATTTCTCAGACCCTTGCCTTACTTTACACAAAACACACACTTACAGAAAAACTATTTGCTTTCAACAAGTTGGTAGCTGAGATGGGCTCATTTTAGTTTGCAAGAGACAATTTTTGCAAAGGAAACACTGAATATCAAAGTCAGGTAAGGAAGCCCCACAGCTACTCATGTTAATGGTCAGATTTTTGTTGGGGTGGGTGAGCATAACATAGGACCAAGTGGAGATCTTACTCACATTCCTTTCAGGCGTTGCCACATCTTCTCCGTCTGTTCTCCAATGAGATACTTGTAAGTGGCGTTTTCCAGTTCTTCGATGTCCGCATCAGTAGACCCCATGATGATGTTCCTAGGACAACACAGTTACAGTCAGTTTCAGCCGCTAGAACAAGCATTCCACAGTCCATTACAAATCTTAAGCATTACATGGTAGCATCTCTTATCTATCAAAACAGTTCGGAGGCGCAAAGCTGAGAGAAGCCTCTGCCAGAACTGCTACCGACTTTGACAGGCATATCCAATGCTCACATCATCCCCCTCAAGCGGACAGCAGTATAAACAGATGCTCTGACCTCACGAGAGCAATCCGCACATGCGAGCCGCTACTGTACTACTGACCGACTGCTCAGGCTGTCCCCCAAGCAGCTCATCTGTTACTGTTGCGTGCACAGAAGCACATCCGAATTCCTACAGTTTACGAGCTCGATTATGCACGAGAGAAACGTGAATGACTTTCGCGCTCCACAAGAAGCTGAATTCTTCTCTAGCAGCTGAAGGAGGGCAGGATGTAATATGAAAACAGATGGTAGGAAGTGGTACCAGCAGCACCGCCCTGAGAAGAAAGTGCCTGTTTAAATATCAAGGCTTTTGTCTCCTAATTGATCTGGAAGCGACACTTAAAAGTATAGCATGCTTCCCCAACAAACGCAGCCCATATTAATGACAAACACGGAGAAAAATAACAGATAGAGCCATAAAGAAGACAGACCCCAGGGCTCCACAGGTTGTTATTGAGAGAGTATGTCCATCAAGTGATGCTGTAATCGTGCTTATTCACCTTCTCCTAGCAACTCTACACAGTGGGTAACTGCCAATTTAACCAGGGAAAACACGGCAGCTGCACTCAGCCTGCTCTGTGAATCCTGTGGGGATTAAAACCTAAACAAAATGAAACGAGTGTGAATGCGCCTGTGTGCATGTTGGAGACAAAGTGTGTGTGTGTGTGTGTGTGTGTGTGTGTGTGTGTGTGTGTATACAGTGAGAGGAGAGATTAGAGAAATTGTTGCTGTGTTTGTGCATGTTGGAAGAAAAATGAGAGAAAGTGGACATAAAAGGAATTAGAACTGATTGTCTGCCAAGCTTCCAACACATGGTGAGCTTTCTTTGAAACAAGCACAGACCTTGAGCAGAGCTCCATAATAGCTGTTGCTCTCTCTGCAAACTGCTAAGAAAAAAATATCCTCCACAGTCTTGTCCTTTCTTGTTTGGAGACTGAAACGCAATTTTGTTCATTTGTCCAAGATGGCTTACCCGTTGCCAAGTATCTTGAGGCTTCTGGTATCCAAAGACAGTTAGGTAATAATATCGAATGTTTAGTGAGGATTTCAATGCGTAGGCATTGTTATCAGGACTTAATACATAACAGCCTTTTTAAAGACCTTAGCAAAAAGTACTGTAAGGTAGGTAACGTTCCTACTTTGCTGTTGAGAAAACAGAAACAAATGCTTTGGATTTAAAAACATAGTGTTTAAAGTGGGTGTGATTGTTTTATTGACAGGAAACTTCCAGTTAAAAAAATGTTTCTGTCCAAAAGTCACTCATATCATCTAATAGCTAAAACTGCAATATGAATTTACAAAGGACATTTGCAAACTACAAAAAAAAAATGCCTTCTGGCTTATAAATGAAAGGGTGCTAACTAAAGCAAGCTTCAGTTTTCTTTTCTCAAAAAAGGTATTTTTCCAGAACTCAGTCAAACTCTATGTCACCGGTTTCCATGCAACTTTCTACACTTGAACTTCCTTCTATGAGTGGCTGTCAGAGTTGTCAAAGCGAGTTCATCTTTGCTCCAGAGGCCACAACTCTACCTTTACTGTACATTCATTTATTATCTTAGGTACATTTATTTAATAAATTCCTCCCTGATTTCCCTTAATGGACATGAACAAACTCCTGTATTCTAATCTCCAAGGTGAACCATAGACTGAAATATGTATAAAATGTCATTATTAATTATGACTTAAAATACCAAAGGCTTTGAGTCTACAACACCTTTCTGACAAATAACTTTCTAAATATTCCATGGAATTCTAAGCATTTCCATTGACCAGTTTGCCAATAGCATTCCCAGGTATTGAGTGCGAACCCTGGGGTCTGGGTGGGAAATCTCAGTCCATTATTGCAACACATTTGCCCTATTTATCTATGTTAACCCTGCCATATGTTAGTGCTTAAAATGATGCTGATTGAGTCATTTCATACAAAAGCTGTACAATTCTTTCATTAAATGTCTCATGAAATAAAAATGTTACTGGTAAAGCAAATAGAACAGCTCATTGTTTAAATACTTGCCCAAAACAATTTTCAACCTTAGCAACAAAATGTTCTCTACACTCAAGTACATAATAAAAGAACATTTTTAATTTATAACTAGTTTTCAAGACTGTGCATTAATGACACAAAATACAACAAATCACATTGACAACATCAGCAGAACCTGAGTTCAACTTTTTCCCAATGAGTATATTAAGAAATACTGAGATGTTTTGCTCATGAATTTAACTGAAAATCGAAGGCTTCTGAAAAAAAAAAAAGATTATCAGGAAGGATGGATTTTGTAAATCAAAGTATATTTGTCATAATAAAACATCCACTCCTAACTCTTCGAAGAGGGAAGGAGTCAAGAAAACACTCTAAACATAGGTCAAATCAGCGCTAGCATGCACCTTACCCTTTATGCACTCTTTCTTCTTACTTTAACTCTATTTGAGGGAAGTTATTTCAATTCTGGAATGGTGACGAAAGATTATAGATTGACTTTAGCATCTGCTGACACTAACGTGACATTCAGTAGTCTATATACCAAGTACCTGAGCTAGAATTCCCATGCTGAAAGAGTGATATGTTTTTTATGAGTTACTCTTCTGTGTCTCTTTCTACATGTTAAAATAAGGCTAATACCATTACTTCCTCTTGGGTTTGATACAGTAAATAACTTAATATACTTGGTTGGTTTAAAATAGCATATGATACATAATAGTTGCCTTATGACTAAAACCTTTCATCATTGTTGATACAGTTTCATACTTTTATCATTTATATTCTATTTATTCATCACATTCACTAATAATAAATCTTTCCCCAAATCATTTGGTGTGAAGTATTACTGTTTTATGTTCAGTGATGGTGTTTATTTTGTTTACAAATTATATTCATGTTTATAAGTAAACATGTTTTAATTATTTGAAGCAATATCTGTGTTCAATGTAAGGCATCATATAGTAAATACTTGAAAAAATATGAAGCCTCTGATTTTATAACCAGAAAACATCACTAGGTGGTAAAGATAAATGGTGACATATTCAGAACCACCAATCTCTGAAAGTACACCATTTAAATATTCATTTGTACTAATTGTACAAAGTTATACATTTGAAACATAGAAAACAATCAATGACTAAATGAGATGCATGGAACTAAATTAGCAATAAAAGTTAAACACATCATTCCAAGATGAGGAATGGTCAAAGTGTCTGGGAAGAAATACACTTAAATTATATCCAGAAGCCATGTACACTGAAACATGACTCTACAGAAAAGTACATTAAACTCATCAAGAAGTTGAACAAACTAAAAATACTATGTCATTTACAAAACATTGTTTTATACCTTTTTAAACTAAAATTTTTAAAGTTACAAATAGCAATGGGTCTTATTTTAGAATATTCATTCATGCCTGTCAGTATGATTTGTCCCATTCATTCTTGGGATAATTTCCTGTATTGGAGTCCTTCTAGAAAGTCCTTATCTCTAATTAAATCTTTCATTTCGGGTTCCATGTTTCCTCTTGCAGTTTCAAAGTTTCAGGAATGATATTAGGGTTTTTATCCATTTTGAATTCATTTTTACTCATTGTGAGCGTTATGGACTTACATTGATTCCATTTTTGGATATCCAGTGTTCCCAGCACCCTTTACTGAAGAGACTCTCTTTTTCAAATATACTTTTGTTGGAAATTAGAGACTGTAATTGTGTGAGCTTGCTCCCTAGACATCTATTTTATTCTATAGGTGTGTTGGCTCATACCAAATAGTTGTCACTCTGGCTCTGTGGCATAATTTGAGATCTGTACTGTGATCCTTAAATTGATGTTCTTTCTAATTAGGATCTACTTAGCTACTTGGAGTATTCAGTGCTTCCTTATGAACTTCTGGAGAGTTTTTCTAATTCCAAAAATTATACTAGAATTTTGTGGGGATATTTTTGAATCTGTGTATCACTACCTATTTTTACAATACTCATTCTGGCAATCCTTGATCATGAGAGTTCTTTCTATTTTCTGATTTCCCTCAGTTTCTTTCTTTAGCATCTTAAAGTTTTGATTGTGGAGGTCTTTTGCTTCTGTGGTTAGATTTATTTCTAAATATTTTATTTTTTAACCTACTGTGAATGGTGTTTCTCCCTGATTTTTTCCTCATCAAGTTCATTATTGATACACACAAAGACTATTATTGATTTTTGTATGTTGACTTTGTATCCTGTTACTTAAGCATGTTATTTTTTGGTTCACAAGAAAAATAATAAAGAATATATTCACAGAAATGTTCACAGAAAAGTATAAGAAAGATGATTGTCTGTAAAAACACTTGCTACCAAGTCTGATAACCTGAATTTAATCTGTGGAACCCATGTGGTGGAAGGAGATAATTTACCTCTACAAGTTGCTCTCTCATCCCCACTACAGCCATGTGCACAAAAACACATACACACACACAATACATGGGTAGAGAGATAGGTAAGTAGATAGATAAAATGCATTTTTAGTTAAGAAAAATACTCATTTTTATAATTGGCAAACTAGAAGATTCCCATGCCAAACATAACATCAGAACTGAGGGGGGAAAGGGGATCTTATAAATATACTTCAAAAGACACAGCTTCATCTATATGAATTGAAGATGTCAAAATGTAGGGGGTCTGAGAAACAATAATTGTAATAAAATTATAGCAAGTATAGTAACATATAACCTTGTATTTTTATAACTATATGGGGAACATGAGGGAAGGAGGAGGAGGGGGAGGGAGGAGCAGAGGAGGAGAAGGAGGAGAAAAAGAAAACAACTAAGGCCC